TGTTTTTTCTGCTCCTTTTCCTCCTTCCATCCTCCACCCTCAAGTAGGCCCCAGTGACTGTTGTTCCTCTCTTTGAGTCCATGTGTTCTCATCATTTAGTGCCCATAGGAGAACTTGTGGTATTTGGTTTTCTGTTGCTGTGTTAGTCTGCTGAGGATAATGGCCTCCAGTTCCATTCATGCTCCTGCAAAAGACATGATCTCATTCATTTTGTGGCTGTGTAGTATTCCATAGCGTATATGTACCACATTTTCTTTATCCAGTCTACCATTGATGGGCATTTAGGTTGATTCCATGTCTTTGCTATTGTGAATAGTGCTGAAATGAACATCCATATGCATGTGTGTCTTTATGATAGAATGATTTCTTTTCCTTTGAGTATATACCCAGCAGTGGGATTGCTGGGTTGAGTGGTAGTTCTGTTTTGAGCTCTTTGAGGAATTGCCACACTGCTTTCCACAATGGTTGAACTAATTTACACTCTCACCAACAGTGTATCAGTGTTCCCTTTTCTCTGCAACCTTGCCAGCATTTGTTATTTTTGACTTTTTAGTAATAGCCATTTGGACTGATGCGTGATGGTATCTCATTGTAGTTTTATTTTGTATTTCTCTAAAGATCAGTGATATTGAGCTTTTTTCCATATACTTACTGGTCACATGTATGTCTTGTTTTGAAAAGTGTCTATTCATGTCCTTTGCCCACTTTTTAATGGGGTTGTCTTTTTTTATTATAAATTTGCTTGAGTTTCTTACAGATGCTGGATATTAGAGCTTTCCTTGTCAGGTGCATAATTTGTAAAAATGTTCTCCCATTCTGTAGGTTGTCTGTTTACTTTGTTGATAGTTTCTTTTGCTGTGCAGAAGCTCCTTAATTGAATTCTATTTGTCAATTTTTGCTTTTGTTGCAATTGCTTTTGGCATCTTCATCATGAAATTTTTGCCAGTTCCTATGTCCAGAATAATATTGTCCAGGTTGTTTTCCAGGGTTTTTGTAGTTTTTGGGTTTTACATTTAAGTCTTTAATTCATCTTGAGTTGATTTTTGTATATGGTGTAAGGAAGGGGTTCAGCTTCAATCTTCTGCATATGGCTAGCCTGATTAGACAATTATTCTAGCACCATTTATTGAATAGGGAGTCCTTTCCCCATTGTTTATTTTTGGCAGATGGTTGTACGTGTGTGGCCTTATTGCCTCTCTATTCTGTTCCATTGGCTATGTGTCTGTTTTTGTGCCAGTACCATGCTATTTTGATTACTGTAACTCTGTAGTATAGTTTGAAGGTAGGTAGCATGATGCCTCCAACTTTGTTCTTTTTGCTTGGGATCACCTTGGCTATTAAGTCTGTTTTGATTCTGTATGAATTTTAAAATAGTATTTTTTCTAGTTCTGTGAAGAATGTCATCGGTAGTTTGATAGGAATAGGACTGAATTTATAAATTGCATTGGGCAGTATGGTCATTTAAACGATATTGATTCCTCTTATCCATGAGCATAGAATGTTTTTTCATTTGTTTGTGTCATCTCTGATTTCTTTAAGCAGTGTTTTGTAGTTCTCATTATAGAGATCTTTCACCTCCCTAGTTAGCCGTGTTCCTAAATATTTATTATTTTTGAGGCAGTTGTGAATGGGATTGCATTCCTGATTTAGCTTTCGACATGACTGGTGTTGGTAAATAGGAATGCTAGTGACTTTTGTACATTGATTTTGTATCCTGAGGCTTTGCTGAAGTTCTTTATTAGCTGAAGGTGCTTTTGTGCTGAGACTATGGGATTTTTTAGATATAGGCTCCTGTTTTCTGCAAACAAGGATAGTGTAAATTTCTCTCTTCTCATTTGGAAGAGAGAAACAAACTCTCTTTTGTTACTTTCTTTTATTTCTCTCTCTTGTCTGATTGCTCTGGCCAGGACTTTCAATACTATGTTGAATGGGAGTGGTGAGAGAGGACATCCTTGTCTTGTGCCAGTTTTCAAAGGGAATACTTTCAGGTTTTGCCCATTCAGTATGTTGGCTGTGGGTTTGTCATAGATAGCTCTTACTATTTTGGAGGTATGTTTCTTCAATACCTAGTTTATTGAGAGTTTTTAACATGAAGGGATTTTTGAATTTTATCGAAAGCCTTTTATGCATCTATTTAGATGATCATATGTTCACTAATCTTTTCTTTTTCAGCCTAATGTTTTGCTAGCCCTATTCAATGTATTTCTTATATCTTTTATGGTGGTTTTTATCTCTAGAGGTTAAATTTGGATCTTTTTCATGTCTTCCATCTTACTACTTAACTGTTTTAACATATAGCATACCATTTTAATAACTGTGTTAATGTCTTTGGCCGATAATTCTAATGCTTTTGTCAGTCTGGGCTGGTATTTATTCATTGATTTATCTCTTCACCATTGGTCATATTTTCTTGCTAATTTTCATGTTTGGTAATTTTTTATTGGATGCCAGACATCTGGTTTTGACCTTCTTATGTACTGAACATTTTCGTACTCCTGTAAATATTCTTGAGCTTTCTTATGGGATGCATTTAAGTTACTTGGAAACAATTTGATCCTTCAGGTCTTGCTTTTAATATCTAGTAGGCATACTTGATAAGTTTTTAGTCTGGAACCAATTATTTCCCACTAGCGAGGCAAGGCTCTTCTGTGAACTCTACCCAATACCCCACAAATCATAGGCTCTCTTAGTTTTTATGGTCTGTGGTGAGTGCAGGACACTGTCTCCTGTAATATTCTTGACTGGTTCTTTTTGTCACCTCAGGGGGCTTCACCACATGCATGTGGTGATCAGTATTCAATTGAAGACTCAACAGGGACTCTCTGTAGGTGTCTGGATTTCTCTCTCTGTGTAGCTGTCTCATCTCTCAGACTGTTATGTGAACTCTAAGCCACCTTTGTATCTCCAGAATCCCAGCTCTATCTTCTCAAATCAGGGAGTCTGCCAGTTCTACCTGGTTTCCATAAATGTTAGTTTTTTTTAACGCTGCATAACAAATTACCACAAACTTAGCAACTTAAAACAGCATAGATTTATTATCTCAAGACAAGTGTGGGCAAGGAGTGTAGACATAGCTTAACTATATGTTCTCTGCTTTAGGGTTTCACCAGCCTGTAATGCTAGCTTAAGTCTAATCAGAGACTTGACTAGGGAAAGATCTGAACCCTCAGGATGTTGACAGAATTTGTTTCTTTGTGACTGTTACTAAGGGTTTTGACTTTTTCCTGGATGTTGGCTAGAGGCCACCTGCAGTTCTCTGCCATGTTAGCCCTGTTCATAGGCAATTCACAAAATAGAAATTTGCTCCTTGAAGGCCAGCAGGAGAGGAAAAGCAAGTCTTTGTGCAGCCATATAAATCACTGGAGTGACATTCTGTCACCCATGCCATGTTCTATTGGTTAGAAGTAGGTCTCAGATCCCACTCACACTCAAGTGGAGGAGTTCTACAAAGGTGTGAACACCAGGAGCCAGGAATCATTTGAAGTCAACATAGGGTCTCTCTGCTATACCCTCTCTGTGTTGTGACCTGAAAACTCTCTCAAGACAGGAGGCTGGGACAATTGAAAGTCTTGTCTTGTTTTCCAATTCTCAGTGATTACTCTGTTCAGTCTTCAACACTGTCATTTTATATCATTTGTCCATTTTTTGGTTGTTTCACATGGGGCAGGAAGTGGGTATCTGATCCTTGTTATGCTATTTTGATCTGACAAGGAAGTCTGAACTCTGATTTTTAAATTTAGTTTTTCTGTCTGTTGTCAGGGTATGGAAGTGTTGTAGCTTTTAAAAAGTTGATATTATATTGAGATTCATTGCTTTACTTTTATTACCTCTAATTATCTATCTAAAATTATTATTTTTCTTTCTCATCAGTACTCATACCTTTTATTTTTATTTCTGTTTTTAAAGTTATTAGATAGATGAGACCTGTGGTAAAATGCTAAAAGAAGCAGTGATAGTCTGCATCTTTTGTTGTTCTAAATTTTAATACAAATGCCTGCAATGTTTGAGAGAAATTCTCTTTTTTCATCTGTCCACTTTTAGATATTTTTCAGTATCTTTACATTGATTTAAAAATTTTAAAAGTTTTTATAACTGCTACTCACGGAGCAGTTTATGTAATCAATTCACTTCCCCATCATTAATAGGAGTATTCATCATTAACTTTTAAAAAATCAATTATAATTTGATTTATTAAAATTTCATGAGTTTTTTCAAATACAGTTCATCATCTTTGGTAGTTTTTTGTTCCTTTTTAATTTGGGCTGTGTGTGTATGATATTTTAAGAAATATTTCATAGCTACTTAGTACACTGTAACTAGTACTGTGATATTAAAGTTTCTGAGTCTATTTCCATTGGGTTTTTAAATCTTTTTGATCTTGTTCATAGAGACATGATTTAGGTTCACTTTACTGAATTAATTCCATCTGAATACTCAAGTGAATTGGAGATGGTTTCCTGTAGAGAAGATTGCATTTGCTTCTACTGGATGTCAAGAATTCAACTAATTTTGGATAACTTTAGTCTCCTGGAAGGTCCTAAATTAATACAGAACACTCCAAATCAGCTCTCCAATTTTACTGACAACCCAAGATTGATTTCTTCATCTCAGGATTGGTACCAGCATTTGTCTATTGGTCAGCTCTGCCTTCCTTGTTCGTGTATTCCTCATGGGCCTCAACTCCAGTTTGTGCTCCTCATTTAAAAAAAAAATTGTTTGCTCCATCTTTGGAATTTTCTTTATTTTTCTGGTGAGCTCATCAATTATAAAAATTCTGTTTCTTTTAATAAATGTAGCCTCTATTTGCACCTAGCAAGATGATGCTTCAGAATATCCAGTCCAATTTACTATCTTTTCTGACATTTGTCTTTACCTATGTTTCAGTGATCAATCTGAAGGACGTCCGGGCTAAAATCTGGCTAAAATGAGTCATGTGTCCACTTATCATTTTCTAAGGAGAAAACTATAGAAGAGAATTAACAACATATGATCAAAGGAACTTTACAGTTTATGTAATATTATTTTATTGCCATTTTCATTATATTCAGTAGAAACAGTAGTACTAGAAAGAAGAAAATGAGTTTTTAGGAACATAAAACTGGCTTTAAATATTTGAAAATCAGAGGAATTTTATGTTTACAGATTTCAAAAGGTTTTGATATTATATTTCAATGCAGACAGTAACTTACCATATGATTTGATTCATTAATAATTGGAGTGATGTTAAGATTTAAACATTTCATAGAATCTCAAATATGACATCAGGTACCACATTTTACAGGGAAAGCACTGTGATTCACCCACTAGTGAGTAAATAATAACTGGGATCTGTAACTATAACCTAGGAGTCCTGCGTTCTAGTCTAATAACTGTTCTCGAAACTATCATTAACTTTTTGGGTATAATAAACAGCAAGCTGCAGAGTAAATTGCACATACTAAAGAGTAAGCAACAAAACAAAGTGCACATGCTGTGCAATATGCAAAGCAACAGAATTAGCAATCTGAGACACAACTGAATACAAAATAAAACACACAGTTGTGTTTTGATTAAGGCTCTTTTCAGGCAATTTGCTTCAGCCAAGGCTGTGTAACTTCTCTGAGTTTCCATGTACTTTATAAGGCTCTCTTTGAATTCCTTTAATTTTTGATCTGATCCCATAGATCCACATTTAGACCTCTGTATTAGGCTGTACAGCCCATTGGTATAGTGATCACCATTTTTCTCCATCAACAGATCCTCAATCAAGTCCATTAGCTCCTTCACTTGGTCATCCTGATTTCTCCCTTCAGCACGGTTATTAAAGGCACAGATTCGCCCACCACATGCTGCCACCAGCTTGCTTAGGGCTTTGTTATCAGAGTTGTGCATGTAATCCATCAGGGAGCCACCACTGAGGTCTTCCTTGTGGGTAAAGAGGACAATTGTGTGTCCCATGGCATCCTCTCCAAAGATCTCCTTCACCCTCTGTGCAGTCTCCTGGTCCTGTGAGGTGTAGCGGCCCAGCTGAGTCACCAGGAGCAGCACATGGGGTCCTGGTGCAGAGAGCAAGTAGCACCTCTGCACCTCTTTGTACAGAGCTTCACAGTGGTCCTTCCAAGAAAACATATCTGGTGTGTCAATAATGACAATCTCTCTATCTCCCCAGCTTCCCTGACTTTTGCTGCAAGTCTTAGTCAAGGTCCGGGAACTCAGCTTCGATTCAAATGCTTGCTTCCTGAGGATGCTGTTCCCTGCAGCACTTTTGCCGGTTCCTGTTTTGCCCACAAGGATGATTCTCAGCTCAGATCTGCTGGCACATTGGCCCTTTGCATGTGATCCTGTGAGGAGCAAGTTTACTGTGTTTATCACCACATTGATCATGGCAGTGGAATTTTTTTTTTCTTTTTCTGTCTTTTTTTTGAGACCAAGTCTCACTCTCACCCAGGCTGGAGTGCAGTGTCACAATCTAGGCTCACTGCAAGCTCCACCTCCTGGTTTCACGCCGTTCTCCTGCCTCAGTCTCCCGCGTAACTGGGACTATAGGCGCCCACCACCGCGCCCGGCTAATTTTTTTTTTTTTGTATTTTTAGTAGAGATGGGGTTTCACCCCATGGTCTCGATCTCCTGACGTGATCTGCCCACCTCCGCCTCCCAAAGTGCTGGGATTACAGGTGTGAGCCACTGCGCCCAGCTGGCAGTGGAATATTTTTTAATGGTAAGGAGGTATTCCCCATTATGTAAAAGGATACTCTCATATCTATTTCATGTATGAAATGAAAACTAACTTGATTTCTCTAGGACTGCAGGATATTGCCATTTGGAGCCTAGGAAAACACACCTGGGGATGAGATGGATTTAGAAACATTTCTCATCATGTAGTGGTTGCCTGAATCACTCAGTCCTGGATCTCTAGAAGAAAAGTTCTCTGGAGATCAGAGATGTGTAGGCAAGGCCATGGGTTCCATCTCAATGTGGGTCAAGTGACCTGGCTCTGTTTCAAGGCCAGAGGTTTCTCCTCTGACCTTTGCTGGGCAGAGTGGGGTCATGACTACCAGGGAAGTGTCTAGACCAGCAAAATATTAGAATGAGCAGTGTAAAATTATTTTTATTAGTGAAGAAATAACTCAGATCTTATAAAGGATATCATAATTTTGCTTAGAAAGGATGGCATAATTTTTGTATAAGATAGTCACAGAATATGGTAAACTTCCCTCTCTCTTTCCCCATTTCCCTTCAACGTGGGTAAGATTCTGGGGAGAGGAGTGAATGGGGACAGAGGTATGAAGGAGCTTGAGACTTTAGGGAAAAAATGTGTTTCATTCATTCCCCCTAAAGGGGAAGGCATAGGAGCCATGGTGCCATTTCTGCTGGTCCACATGGCAGTGAAAGGAATGACTTGTCTAGGGCGGGTTCATGGAAGACTCAAGATGCAGCTTTGTAGTGGAGAGATGAGTTATTTAACTTGCAAGGTAAGGGTACTCTGACTCCTGAGGGTTAACTCCTTGATTCCTTTACTGTAAGGGAGGAACATTTGACCTGTATGAATGAAATGGAATACCATGATAACAGAAGAATCTTTCTGGAGGGAATATCCAAACAAACTAAGACTCTTCTGCTAAGCCCATTGCCTTTTGGGGTTTAGCTGTTCCTTACTCTCATGTTGCAGAAATAAAGTTGGGGAAAGAACGTCTACATTGACTACAGAATATCAGAGCTTAGAAGGAACTTAGACTGTACAAAGAAAATGAGCTTTCTGAGAGGCAGCATGCAGTGGTGAAGAATAAAGAATCTGGAGCTGGATTGCTTAGTTTTAATTGTCTTTCCATTGCTAGTCATATGATCTTGGACAACTGATTAATTTCTCTGCATCTGGAGAAGATGACGGTTTACTCCATGTGGTGGTGTTCTAAGTATTAAATAAGTTAATATATGTAAAGAACTTAAAAGAGTGCTGGTGCACTAAAGCACTTAGTGAAAATGAGGCTAGGATTGTTTATAGCAACCTCCTTATAGAGGAAGTAACTTGCATGCAGCGGTTAAGTAACTTGGACAATGTCCTAAATAGTTAGTGAAATCTACCATTTATTGAGAACTTTTAATGTGCCAGGATCTGTTCCAAGTGGTTTACCTTCATTACCTAATGTACTCCTTCTAGCAATGGTATGAGTTAGGTGCTGCAATGCCCACCAGGGGTCTTGTTCTTATTTGGTTCAAATGACCTCTTGGGCTCACAGAACTGCCGTGGGCCTCACTGGGACACTAGTCTACTTTAATGGAAATCTTAGCTTGCCAGAGGGACAATGTTGGGCCTTCCACCTAGTGGAAGTCTATGCAGCAATTCATGGAACACTGCAAACTGTCACCTGGGGATGTCCCAGGGCAAGAAGATGGCATCTTGAGCAGTTAGAGAAGCCACCCGGACTCACAGGAGCCAGTGTCTCTTGTAGCAACCCTAGGGGTTTAGCTTCCAGATTCCCTGCAAGGAACATGAGAGTTACAAGAGTCACTCTGCTCAGGGAAGTTCCAAACAGCTTCCTAGCATGTATTTATAGTTTTTTCAGCATAGATATAATTCACCCATCAAGAGAAGTTTTCAACTGTAAGCAAAGTTCCTAATAATGTTATAGACATTTTACTCTTATTAAATTACTAGAGAATCTGAGCTAAAATGTTTAACCAAAGATTAAATTCTCAGGCAGAAAGGGAAATGGTTTGTCAACCTTTTTACCCATGGGTTTCTTTTATTCACCTTATTTTACACATGAATCTGCAACTTGGCCAAGAACTTAGAGCTATTAAAATTAACCAATTTTGTAAATGAAAAAGCTGGCAGTTGAACCAGCCCATTTTCTATGCCTGAAGTATTAGTGCTTTGCCATGCTCTACACTAACACTTGTTGCATATATTTAAGTATTTTCTCTTCCAGCCAAATTGGCCAAAACTTATGGACATTTATTCTTATTTTCTGTATGCCAGTGAAGTTATGGCCTCACAGTGGGCAGGCAATGTACACTTTTACTTAAAAGGAAGCAGGCATTACATTACAGATTTCTATATTCTGAAAACAGCAGCCAAGCAGCTCCTGATACACCTTGCTGGTGCTTGCTTAGAGGTAGCCAAACTGCACCTTTAACCTTCCTCTCGCCTATGAAAACAGAAATCAAGGGAGTCACTGAAGAGAACCGGTGGGAGTCCTGAGTTTCTGGCCTCCTAGGAAGTGCAGCCTCATTCTCTCCCGTGGGGAGGGTATAGGGAAGAGAATTCTCTGCATCCAAAGCCAAGTGAGAGGGTCTCTAAAACATCCACTCATAAATATTGGGCACGTCACCAAAGTTGAGAGATAGATAGGTCATTTCCCAGATGGGTGTCTGCTGAATGACAGAAACTGGTAAGCCTATCCAAGTGCAGCAAAGTGAAGAGAATTCTTGAGCAAATTTAGAGAGAAGTAAGATATTACCTGGAGTTTGGAGACATGTATAAACATGGAAATTGGTGTCTATTTCCTTTCTGGAGAATTCTAAATTTTGAAGGCAGACTAGAGCCAACTAGGAGACCAGGATAAGGTGTAAGAAGCAATGGCTTAGGGGGTTTCCCATGGACAGAAGGGATCTTACAGAAAATAACGAGGCACAGCTGCCTTGATGAGGCCCTGCCAAAGGCCTGCCTTGTATGGCAAAGGGAGTGCAATAGTAAGAGGAAGCCAGGGGTGCCATGAGGGTGGGAGCAGAGGTCTAGTTGGATAATTCAGCCAGAGAGGGCACAGCCTCTGGCAGGAAGTGTGCAAAGCATCAGCCCCATGGGGCCGCCACAGTGTCCTTGCACAGTGGAGGGTGTCTGCTGTAATGGGGCATGGGATGGTGGTGAGGACCAGCCAGGAGACGACTGCAAAGACAATGGGACTGAAGCACTCCACTTTCTTTCTCCAGTCACCCATCCTCCTGCCTGATGGGGAAAGAAGGACTAGCATGAGGGTTGAGGAGGCAGAGCTGGAAGGGAGAGGAGGACTTTTGGAAGGTCCCAGAGTTCAGGCTGAGGCTGAGGCTGAGGTAGAGGAAGGAGAAACTCATACTGAATGTAAGTTTGATATTAGATGGCACCGAACAATGCAACACCTGATATATGTGTCATAGGGACTTTAATAGACTATTCTCCTAGTCTGCATTAATCATAAAGGCAACTGCCTGAGATGGCATCAATAAATCAAGATTGTGGCCAGGCGCAGTGGCTCATACCTGTAATCCCAGCACTTTGCGAGGCTGAGGCAGGCAGATCACTTGAGGTCAGGAGTTGTAGATCAACCTGGCCCACATGGTGAAACCCTGTCTCTACTAAAAATACAAAAATTAGCCAGGCATAGTGACACATGCCTGTAATCCCAGCTACTCAGGAGGCTGAGGCAGGAGAATCACTTGAACCTGAGAGGCAGAGGTTACAGTGAGCCACAGAGTGAGACTGGGCCACAGAGCAAGACTCCATCACCACCCCCCCAACCAAAACAAAAGGAAATCAAGATTGCATAATAAGAGGCAGTGATGGGAGGAAAAAAAGTTGTTTCTCATTTGGATCGCAGAGTTCAGCTTGTTAATAAACAAGTTCCATACACAATGAAGCCAGAGACCTCCTATTTCTCACAGGTGAGGGTTGAGTGTGAAGGGAACTTGGAAGGGAGGAAGATCTGGGCTCTTCTTGATGTAAGAGACTGAAGATAGGGCTGGCGAGGGGCAGAGAGTGAGGAGGAGGGAGTGGGAAAGGGGAGGTCAAGATACAGAGAGAAAGACACCCATACCATACAGATAGCAGAAACAGGTGCAAGAAGAGGAGAGAGAGAGAGAGGACAAGGGAAAGAAAGGGAATGATAGAGTCAGAGACAGAGAGAGAGAGAGAGAGACAAAGAATCTATAGAAGTGTGAGAGAAGGAAGAGAAGACTGAATGGTAGGAGAAGGAATATTTCAAAGAGATCTGAAAGATTTGTGCATAAGGGAAAAGCCTGGATGCATATTTTGGATACTGGTGAGTATTTTAACAATTTTCAGGCCAGATGTGGTGGTTCATGCCTGTAATCCCAGAACTTTGCAAGGTCGAGGCTGGCGGAAACCCCGTCTCTACTAAAAATAATAATAATTAAAAAAAATAGCTGGGCATGGTGGTGTGTGCCTTTAGTCCCAGCTACTCAGGAGGCTGAGGCAGGAGAATCACTTGAACCTGGGTGGTGGAGGTTGCAGTGAGCCAAGATTGCGCCACTGCACTCCAGCCTGGGTGACAGAGCGAGACACCATCTCAAAACAAACAAACGAACAACAACAACAAAACCAAAACAAAAACCTGCAATTTTCAGCTGCCGGTGGTGGTAGCTGTGGGAGTTAGAATAAGATCCTTCATTCTTTTTTATTTTGCCCCAACATCATCAGAAGAGACACACACACACACACACACACACACACACACACACACACACACAAGAGAAGTCACTTTCTTACCCCAGTGATTGTGTTCATTTTGGTCCATTGGTGTTCCTGAGAAACAGACAGACAAGAAACTTATTTTTCAGTTCTAAATCCTGAAAGATCTTTATTTTTCTTTTCTTTTTCTTTCTTTCTTTTTTTCTTTTTTTTTTTTTTGAGACACAGTTTCACTCTGTCACCCAGGCTGGAGTGCAGTGGTGCGATCTTGGCTCACTGCAACCTCCACATCCTGGGTTCAAGTGATTCTCCTGCCTCAGACTCCCGAGTAGGTGGGATTACAAGTGTGCACCACCACCCCTGGCTAATTTTTGTAGTTTTAGTAGAGACAGGGTTTGACTATGTTGGCCAGGCTGGTCTCGAACTCCTGACCTCAATTGATCCACCCGCCTCGACCTCCCAAAGTGCTGGAATTAAAAGCATAAGCCACCGTGCTAGGCCAAGATCCTTATATTTCTAAACAACCATGCTTCATTTGTCTACTAATAAGGGACAAGATGGGTGGGAAAAGAATGACTTCCTACTTTACAGAGAACTGGAATCACTTGCTGAGGAGCTGAGAAGTGGGTTTCGTTCGTAAGCCTCACGCCCAGTTCTTTCTCGCTTCCTTCCTCCCATCCTCTCACAGGTCAGCCCGGCTCCCTTCTGTTTTTGTTTTGCCTGCACACTCTTCCCTTCTGTCAGCTTTCTTTGTAGGTGTGCCTTCCCTTACACCTGAGGCTCAGTCCTCCCTTTCCCTCTCTTTCTTTTTCCACCTTGCCTCCTTCCCTCCTCTACTCTCTCCAAACCTCCTCCCTCATGTTGAGTCTTTGCTGACAGACTCAATGAATTAAGATTATGACTCTGGGAAACCGTGCAATCCTTTAAGCCAGAAATACACTTCACTTGATCCATCAATTGCTTGAATTTTCCTCATTCCCCAACAGCCATTGATTATGAAGCCCTTGCAATCTAGGAACTACTATGCAGTGAGAAGTATCGGTACATTTTCATCAGCTAGTCTCTCTTGCTTAAATCTGGCAGGCATAGACCAAGCCTACAAGCACAGAAAACTGAAAGCCACATGTTAATGCCCAGATTCTTCCCAGTTAGCACTTTTTATTGGCTTTATACTATGGAAATTCTTTCTTTGCCAGTGATGTGTAAAGCAAATTGCATTGGTTTCCTGTAAACTGGCTTCACCTAAGGAAAAGGCAGTCACTCTAAATTGTTTCTCTTAAAATAGGACAAATTTGTTCTAAGAAAAATGAAAATGTTTGTGCATGGCTTGGAACCTAGAAATCAACACTGCAGAACTTTTTGTAAATCTTGGCTTACCTGATTTACTGTCCAAAGAAACAGTTGGCTCCCTGTTCAGTCCTGTTATCTTGTAGCTCAGCTCCCAGAGAAAAAGAAAGTAAAACTGAAACTCCAGATGGTCTTCTTCCTCTCTTGAATCTTCACTGAGCTTCCTGACTGCTAACAAACCCCACCACGTGCCTATGTCTGAAATTCTCTTTCATGCCATTAAACAAAATAAAGTTTAAATGGAAAGTTAATCAGTAGTTATTTACTGTCATGTGGGCCAACTGTCTCTTCTCAAAAGTGAAAAAAGAGTGTTTTAATTATTTCATCTGTACTAGAAAGAAAGACACGAATGCCAAGGAAGTTGGTAGATTTCAGTCCTTCCCAGCTGGGATATGTCCTAACAGTTAGAAGTTTGTCTAGATGCAAATGACCCCCCGAGAAGGGCTTAAACCCCATTCACACTGGTAGCAGGGATTGTTCTAAAGCAGATGCCACTGGGAGAAAAGAGGAGCCTCTGATAGGCACTGCCCAGGGGAAGAAGGGCACAGAAAGGGGAACCTGAGAGGGGCCGGTGTTGTACGAGTCTGATTGTAAGGACCATTAACCATCAAAACGTTTTTACATAATTCATTCATGGCTTCTAGGTTTCTGGGCCTTTCTTCCCTGTCCAGCTCTATAATTTCAGAGAACCTCCCTGTGAGGAGAAATTGTCTAGGAAATATCTATAGTAATAATCTGGAGTGGTTTATATTTAAGAAGAATAACGCAAATAATTACAGTTGAAATCGTCCAAATATTCTTTTTCTTATACATAGGGCAGTTGCCACAGCAGGGGAAGAAAGACATGGAATTTGTATTGTCTTTAAATACCCCCAGATTAGTAGTGATATGCATTGCTTTCTTTCCAAACTCATTGGTCAAGAATAATCACATAGCCCTAGGCTCCTAATCACAAAGCCCTAGGCTCCTAATCACATGGCTCTCCTATTGAGAGGTGACAACATGCTAGCAGCCCTCGCTCTCGGTGCCTCCTCAGCCTCAGCGTCCACTCTGGCAGCACTTGAGGAGCGCTTCAGCCCGCCACTGCACTGTGGGAGTCCCTCTCTGGGCTGGCCGAGGCTGAAGCTGGCTCCCTCTGCTTGCAGGGAGGTGTGGAGGGAGAGGCACGGGCTGCGTGCTGCACGGAGTCCAGCGCCAGTTCCGGCAGGCGTGGGCGCGACTCGGGGGCCCAGCACTCAGAGCGGCTGACCGGTGCCTCCAGCCCAGGGCAGTGAGAGGCTTAGCACCTGGGCCAGCAGCTCCGGTGGGTGGGCCGGGTCCCGAGCAGTGCCGGCCGATGCTGTGCTCGAGCTCTCGCGGGGCCTCAGCTGCCTCTTCGTGCGCTGCCCCCTGCTCCACAGCACTCAGTGCCATCAACCACCCAGGGGCTGAAGAGTACAGGTGCAAATGACCCCCTGAGAAGTGGATTCCGGGGGACTGGCAGGGCAGCTCCACCGGCGGAATCCACTAGGTGAAGCCAGCTGGGCTCCTGAGTCTAGTGGGGACTTGGAGAACTTTTATGTCTAGCTAAGGGATTGTAAATACACCAATCAGCACTCTGTGTGTAGCTCAAGGTTTGTAAATACATCAATCAGTACTCTGTATCTAGCTAAGCTAGTGGGGACTTGGAGAACTTTTATGTCTAGCTAAGGGATTGTAAATACACCAATCAGCACTCTGTGTCTAGCTCAAGGATTGTAAACACACCAATCAGCACTCTGTCAAAATGGACCAATCAGCAGGATGTGGGTGGGGTCAGATGAGGGAATAAAAGCAGTCTGTCCCGCCAGGCAGCTTCTGCAACCCGATCCGGTATCCTTCCACGTGGTGTAGGCTTTGTGTTTCCCCTCTGCAATAAATCTTGCTGCCACTCACTCTTTCGGTCCACACTGCTTTTATGAGCTGTAACACTCACCCTGAAGGTCTGCAGCTTCACTCCTGAAGCCAGTGAGACCACAAACCCTCCGGGAAGAACAAACAATTCCAGACATGCTGCTTTTAAGATCTGTAGCACTCACCTCGAAGGTCTGCAGCTTCACTCCTGAAGCCAGTGAGACCAAGAACCAACCAGAAGGAAGAAACTGGGGACACACTATCTTTAAGAACTGTAACACTCACCGTGAGGGTCCACAGTTTCATTCTTGAAGTCAGTGAGACCAAGAACCCATCAATTCTGGACACATTATGAGGGAGACTGGGGAATGCAGTGGACCCTATGGAACCTGGGTGAACACTACCACCTTTATAACACACAATTGTTGCTCTGTTTCTTTTTCTTCCAGATCCTTTACTGTACAATCTCATAAGCGTGCTTGAAGAACAATACACAGGCAACTCCTGCTTGATATCTATAATCTGTAAGTCTATAATTTAGTCCTAAAAATGAAATATTCTATGTAAAAACACTAACTGGGGCCTATTTCTTATTGTTTTATGTGTGAAACCAAGGTAATGTAATATGCATCAAACTGAAAGCTTACCAATTTTCTAAATCATAAATAGAATTTATGAGAAAAAACTGTCAACTTAGAATACCAGAATTATAATATATGCTTCTCTGAATACCAAAAAAAAAAATACTTTAGGCTTATTTTATTTTATTTTATTTTGATTTGGAGTCTCACTTGTCACCCAGGCTGGAGTGCAGTGGCACAATCTTGGCTCACTGCAATCTCCACCTCCTGGGTTCAAGCGATTAGCCTGCCTCAGTCTCCCAAGTAGCTGGAATTACGGGCACTGGGCTAATTTTTTGTATTTATTTATTTATTTATTTTAATAGAGACGGGGTTTCACTGTGTTAGCCAGGATGATCTTGATCTACTAACTTCATGATCCGCCCGCTTTGGCCTCCCAAAGTGCTAGGAATACAGGGGTGACCCACTGCATCCGGCCCAATAATTTAGGTTTATAAATAAAAAATATTGGATGATGTAAGTGGGAGTGCAAGGCATCTACAGGTCTAATGAATTCAGTGGATCACCTACACGACCCATGTTCATTTCATCTAACTATCCATTTTCAGCGTTGGCTTTATCTTACTTTGGTAGAAAGACGGATTTGTAATTCCATAAATTATGCTCAGGAACAGCAGTGTCTAGAGAAAAGTTTGTAATTTTCCTTTTCTGTAACTGTTTTTTAAGGAAAAAGTAAACTTTAATAAAAAACAAAAATGATAAATATGTATATAATAACAGATTCAAAATACATAAAACAAAAATTGTCAGGACTAGAGGGAGAAAGAAATCCACAAGCAGCTGGAGATTTTAATACTTCTTTTTTAGTAATTGATAGAATAACTTGATAAAAAATTCATGATGATATAGAAGATCAGAAAAGTACTATTAACCATCTTGAGATAATTGATACTTATAAAACATTATGCTTTACAACTGCAGAATACGTATTCTTTTTCAAGTGAACATCTACCTTCATGAAGACATAATATGATGGAAAATAGTCTCAATAAATTTGAAACTACTGAAACCATACAAAGTATGTTCTCTGACAACAATTGGATGATTCAAAGAAATCAATAACAATATGATGTCTAGATAATGCCCAAATGTGTCAAAATTTGAAAACTGATAATGAAAACAAAACTTACCATAACTCATTGAATGTAGTTAAATCAGTGCTTAAAAGGCAGTATATAGCTGTGTTTATATAAAAAAGATAGAAAGGAAGAAAGAAAGGAAGTATGGAAGAGAAAGAGAAAGGAAGGAATCCTTGCTACAGCTAGGAGAAAAATTTCTCAAAAATGTATCTAGAAAAATATGTTATTCATGATAAAGAACTTTTATAACTCAATAATTTAAAAAAGACACATAACCTAATAAAAATGGGCAAAAATTGAACAGATACTTCAGAAAAGGAGATACATGAATAACCCAGTTACTTAACATCTTTTTTTTTCAACTTTTAAGTTCAGAGGTATATGTGCAAGTTAGTGATACAGGTAAACCTGTGTCATAGAAGTTTGTTGTACAGATTATTTTATTACCCAAGTATTAAGCCTAGTACTCAATAATTCTTTTTTCTCATCCTCTCCTCCTCCTACTCTTCACCCTCTGGTAATCCCCAGTGTCTGATGTTCCCTTGTATGTGTTCATCTGTTCTCATCATTTACCTTCCACTTATAAGTGAGAATATGCAGTATTTGGCTTTCTGTTCTTGTGTTAGTTTGCTAAGGGCAATGGCCTCCAGCTCCATCTATGTTCCTGTGAAGGATATGATCTCATTCATTTTTATGGCTGCAGAGTATTCTATGGTGCATATGTACTGCATTTTCTTTATTCAGTCTATCATTATTGGGGATTTAGGGTTGATTCCATGTCTTGCTACTGTGAATAGTGCTGTAGTGAATATACATGTGTCTTTATGACAGAATGATTTATATTTCTTTGAGTATATACTCAGTAATGGGATTACTGGGTCAAATGGTAGTTCTGTTTTAGGTCTTTGAGGAAATACCACATTGCTTTCCACAAATGTTGAATTAACTTACACTCCTACCAATGGTGTTATAAATGTTCCCTTTTCTCTGCAACCTCACCAGCATATGTTAATTTTTGATTTTTTAATAATAGTCGTTTGGACTGGTGTGAGATGGTCTCTCATTGTTGTTTTGATTTGGCATTTCTCTACATGTCAGTGATCGATTAGCATGTTTTTTCATAGTGCTTGTTGGCTGCATGTATGGTCTTCTTTTTGAAAAGTGTTGTTCATGTCCTTTGCCCATTTCTTTTTTTTCATACTTTAGTTCTAGGGTACATGTGCACAACGTGCAGGTTTTTGTATTATGTATAACCATGTGCCATGTTGGTGGTGCTGGCACCCATTCACATCGTCATTTACATTAGGTATTATCTCCTAATGCTATCCTCCCGCTCCCTGTCCGCACCTGATAGGCACCCAGTGTGTGATCTCCCCTCCTGTGTCAAGTGATATCAGTTGTTCAATTCCCACCTATGAGTGACGACATGCGGATTGGGTTTTCTGTTCGTGCGTGCTGGCTGAGATGTGGTTTTCCAGCTGCATCATGTGCCCTACCAAGGACAGAAACTCATCCTTTTTTATGGCTGCATAGTTTCCATGGTGTGTATGTGCACATTTTCTATACTCCAGTCTGTCACTGATGAGCACTTATGTTGATTCCAAGTCTTTCTATTGTGAATAGTGCCGCAATAAACATACGTGTGCATGTGTGCTTTTTAGCAAGACATGACTTATCTTTGGGTAATATCCAGTCAATGGGACGGGCTGGGTCAAATGATATTTCAATTCTAGATCCTTAGCGAATCGCCATTGTGTTCCCAATGGTTGAACGGTTATTTACAGCTCCATAATGAGTGTAACACTGTTCCTATTTTTCCACATCTTCCAGCACCTGGTTGTTTTCCGCTTTAAATGATTGCCATTCTAACTGGTTGTGAATGTTCTCAATGTGTGGTTGGATTTGCAATTTCTTTGCCTTATGGCACTTCGTGTAGCTACATCCAAGTGGCAAGATTGATTAGAATGAGAAGCAACTATTGTCT